AACTGTTTTCTGTCTTTAGAACCTAGAACAGTGTCTGACATATAAATATCACTTAATAAATATAGAATGAGTGAGTGAATGAATGAATGAATGAATGAACATACACAGAAGCTAGTAGTAACTGAGGTAAACTCGACTTGGAATTTTAAATATCCCACAATGCAACATGCCTTATGAGAGACTACAAAGCTGATTGAAAAGGAGCCCACCTTTCCTTGGTAATTAAGTCTTTGGTAGAGCCATAAGGTGATTAAAGATGACCATGTATGTGGCTGGCATTCAGTTACATCTCATAATTATGGAGCAAATGTCTATTTACAAAAGTCATTGACAATACTTAGGGTATGACAGGAAATCCACGCTAATTATAATTCATAAGCAGGGCATAGAAAAATAGATTCTAAAGAATACACTAACTGAGCAGTTTCAGCATAATCTTCAAATTTCAGTAAGGGTGTCTCTTGCAACACCCACTGCGATTTCATCAGATTCTAAGTGTAACTTTCAAATTAGGCTGTGACCAGCGGACCCCCCAAGTCTGATGTCATCAATGGCAGATAATTTCACTGCTCCAAGAATGCTTCACTGGCTAATTCTTTTCAGAAGTAGATTGCCAGGTCCTTCTTCCTAGTCAGTCTGGAAGCTCAGCTGAAACCTGTCCACCATGGATGAGAAATCAGTCAAGAAATCAAAAGACACATTGCATTGAGTAAAACTGCTGCAAAAGACCTCTTTAAAGTGTTGAAAAGCAAAGATGTCACCTTGAAGACTAAGGTGCACCTGACCCAAACCATGATATTTTCAACCGCCTCATACGCATGTGAAAGCTGGACAATGAATAAGGAAGATCGAAGAAGAGTTTATGCCTTTGAATTGTGGTGTTGGTGAAGAATACTGAACACACCACAGACTGCCAAAAGAACGAATGAATCTGTAATGGAAGAAGTACAACCAGAATGCTTCTTAGAGGCAAGGATGGCGAGGCTACATCTTACGTACTTTGGACATGTTGTCAGGAGGGATCAGTCCCTAGAGAAGTACATCATGCTTGGTAAAATACTCAGCAAAAAAGAGGAAGACCCTCAACGAGATGGACTGACACAGTGGCTGCAACAATGGGCTCAAGCATAACAACAATTGGGAGGATGGCGCAGGACCGGGCAGTGTTTTGTTCTGTGGTGCCTAGGGTCGCTGTGAGTTAGAACCAACTTGATGGCACTTAACAACAACAACATGAATGTTTTACCTAACAAACTAAAAATAAAGTGTTTTTACAACCTTGGAAATTATAGTAACAAGATGCTCTTCCAGAATGCTAATCATTCTTGTTGAATATCTAAATTTGTTTTTACAAAGGCTTGGAGATTAAATAAATTAATGGAAGGAAGAGACATAATGAGGAATTAAGGAAAATGAGGTGAGCTGGGGTACAGTCCCATTGGGAAGATGACCAAATCCTCACACAATGCATTTCTTATGACAGAGATGACCAGGGGAAGGCTGTGGAGGCACCCTGAATGTGCCTACATGGTTACATTATGGTCAAGAAAGTAAGCTTCACAAAGAGAACACTATTGATAGTTATTTCAAAAAGAAATAAGTCCATATGAGCCTATAGGGAGAATGGTATATCATTATGCTTCTTTTTAAATGGAGCCCTGGTGGTGCAGTGTCTAAGAGCTTGGCTGCTACCCAAACGGTTGGCAGTTTGAATTCACCAGCCACTCCTTGGAAACCTTATGGGGCAATTCTACCTTGTCCTATATGGTCGCTATGCATTGGAATCAACTCAATGGTAATGGGTTTTCCTTTTAAATAGATATAACTTGTCTTAGGGCAAATGAGAAACTATCTCGGTCCTCTAGCCCATTGCGACAATTTTTAAAAAAAGGAATTAAAGGATGTTTGGCTAGAAGATACCATCCTTCTCACGTGTTCCTTTATAGTTAAATAACATGCATAGCAAAGCTCATCATGTTTCAAGAAGATGGAAAACAAGAGGGATAATTTCAGTATGTTTTAAAAAGTAATACTCAAGTAATTTTTTTGTCAACTTGCTTGTAAACCATAAAGAATGATTAAAATACTTTTTGTGCTGTAATTGCTTTATAATTTAGCATTTTTACGGTCAGGTTTCCAAAGGATAACATCTAAGAGACTTTCAGAATTTAAATGAAAAATTAAGAAATACTGATACAGAACAACTACTTACCAGTATTCTTAGCAACACAAAATGAAACAAGTTTTGGTTCTTATCAAGTAGTTAATTATCTCAGATTGGGAAAGCTTTGAAGATGTGGCTTTTTTTTTTTTTTTAAATATTTTATTGTACTTCAGGTGAAGGCTTACAGAACAGATAGTTTCTCATGTAACAGTAACACACATGCTGTTTTATGACATTGGTTAACAACCCCA